GGGAATCGCGTGGAGGAAAGCCCAGAAATCATAGAGAGAAAGAGCCGGAGACGAAGGTGAACAGCGTAGAAGATGAACGGTGGTTTGTACGTTTTCTTTTAGCCATTTTGAGCATTTAAGGCTTGAAAGACGTGGGACGAGGCGTGCGCGGAAACTAAGGGAGCCATGATTGCTGCTACCGTCAAAAAGCCCCTTCCACGTGCATCTCACATGCAGGCTAAGGTCAGCTAGGCGCAGGTCTGGTTTAAGGTAAAAGCAGCTCACCCCATGCCCAAGCTCGTTTGGGCCAAGGGCTGGGGGGGCAACTGATGACACCTTAAAATAAATCCTAAACGCCAGCTCAGCCCAGAAGGTCAGACTAGACAGAACTCAGAAGAGTAGAGCTGGAGGTCCCTTCGAGATAAGCAAGGGCAATAACAACCAAGACAACAGCTGAAAAATCACGAGAGATTCCTAAAAGTGTTAGGAAGCAATAATCAAGGCACCTAATCTCAACCAACCAAATTCTTCTCCTATAATCAAGGAGAACCCCACGAAATAAGGGCAAGAATCTCGACTAAGATCCCACTAAATAGGGAACAGCCCTATAAATACTATGTAACGCCCCCAAGGAATGAGAGGAACCTAGAGGCAAAAACTAGTCATTGTACTCTTGCAATCATCATTATTGAAAGACAAAGAGCAAGAGTCTCTATTAAAAAGTGGATTAACCGAGCTCCCGAACTGGTGAACCACTATATTCCTACTGTGTTAATTCCCCAACTCTCCGATAATTCTCAGTATCATTCACTCGAGTCTAGTAGCTTAGATCCCAACAATTCTAATATTGTTTCTTTCATTTACTCGTCATCACAAATTTGCATCACGTTGAAATTCACCATCAGGACCAATTCCAAATTTCTCTGTAGAAGTATATTCTTAAACTTGACGTAATATGATGACAGTGAACCTTGGAAAGACTTGAACTGTCAACATTTTGTGTTTGTGATCTCTGATTGCATATTTCCTGGGTCTTTGCCACTACTTCTCGCAACATTTTACTGAGACATCTGGGTAGCCTTTAGCATAGATCCAATTTAAAGATTCCAGTAAAGAGTACTCTAGTTCTATTTTATGTTGTTTGATCATGGTGATATTTCTCTCTTACAAGATTAGAATTTTGGACAGAACTATCACTTGAGCTGCTAAAATCAAATGGGTTAATTGGTGAGAATATCATCCAAAATGTTGGCCCTGCTCTAGAGCTTTTATTGAGTTCTTATGGCCCAATCACATTGGTGGCCAATTTTGCACTCAACATAGTTATTTTGCTGGTTTTGCGCGTTAAGGTAAATTATTCGGCTAATATTTTTGCTTGATTGATTTTTCATCTCTCATAGAAACTGCGTGCATATGACATTCACTGGATAGGCACTTTGTCTAGAATTTATGATTCAGGGTATATATTTATGAGGCAGCGATATAGATTAGGTGGTTTCTTTTAGCTGTGCGGACATTACAGCATCAAAGGCTTGTTGCATTGATAATATTACTATCAACACACCTACCTTCCACCTTATGGTTTGTTTTTTTCCTAGCCTAATCGATACCCAATGGGATTACTTTTATGGCTTTAGAGTTGAAGAGTCACCTCACGAAAACGTTGCCAAATTTAGTCTTAAGTGAGCTCATTAAAAGATTTCAAATATTACAAAAAGCTTTGTCCCAATTATTTGGTCAGTCACTTGGATTCGTGGTGACATTCTGTAGTGTCTTGGATCATTAGTTTTGTTGAACTATATGACAGCATAACTCTCACTACAACAGTGCATGTTAATTTAGATCATAGGTCATCCTTCTTTCTTTCCATTTCCCACAGGATGGACTTTTTTTCTGCTCCTATATTATGCAATTGATATTTTGTCACACATTGTCAAATCTTTTTGTTGTTTTATCTATCATCTTATTACTATGGTCATATAAGTTCTTGTAATTTTATTCTTTCTTGTCTTACTGCACTTCCATATTATTAGCCTCATTAAGATGCCCGCTTATGCCATTAAAATTTAATTATAAGTTGCCTAACATCCTATGGTGTACCCATAGTAAGCACATCTATGTTACATCCTATGGTGTACCCATATTTCTTCTAGTGCCTAAGAAATATATATGGGTGCTCTTGACATTTGGTTTCATTAGGCACTAGAAGAAATTATGGCTTCACCGGCGTTTTTATTTTGGTGTTTACATGAAAGATCAATATTGACAAAAGCTTAGATTGTTTTTCGTTTAAACTAATTAGACTAGATTTATGCTTTAATTTGATGACCATGTTTTGAAGGGCATAGTTCTCTCCCTATTGTGGCTCATGTCCACTAATAGTGCTGGCAGATATGAAATTATCGTCTTCCTATTCATTTTCGTTTGGAGAAGTGCAGAATCGGTGCCAGACAACATTTCTTGATTGTTGCAGAAACTTTCATACACAAATGTAAGGGACGACTTCTCTTCTGTTTTTTTTTCCTTGTTGATCCTCTCTTGATGTCAAGTATTGAATTTTGGTTGATTGTTTGTGGTGTATAACCATGTTTAGTTGTTTACTTCCATTTTTCAAACTTTAAACTTATAGATTCATGCTTAATGGGTATCCAATCATACCTGAAGTTTTTATCTTTATTTGTATGTGAAATGTATACATAGTATTAGGTATGGAAAATGGAATTTTCATATATTTATTTTTATAAATATCCTCTGGCCACTATCCATGAGAATAGATTCTCATAATGTGCATTGCAACCAGTGACTGTCTGGGTTCAATGGTTGATGGGTCATTGATGCATTATGTTGTTTGATCTGTGTGGATTCTATTTTCATAAAGGCTGATGCTTTTTTTTTTTGTCCCTTCTATTTTCATAACTGCTAGATTTCTTCATTTTGGTATGAAATCCTTTTGTCATGGGCTTCTTGCTTTTCAGATTTTGTCATGGTTCATACGGAGTTGCTTAGTTAAGTTTTCCATATGAACCATGTCTCGATATATACAAAGTGATACTGAATAGAATACAAGATATGGGGGATTTAAGGAAAAATGTTAATGCTGGAGGTTTTTCTACTAAGGTAATGCCGTGATGATTTTCTGAATATTAGAAGTTGTTCTTTGTCTCTTGTTTTTTGATTCAAACTGCGACGAGTACTTTTTCTTTTTCAAATTCTAAGGTCTGTGGCATTCGTTCTGAGACATTACTCGTCTGCTATGAAAGAGGTATATTTACCTTTAGTAATAAACTGTATCATCATCTTGGTACATGTTAATCTTATTATGGGTTATTGCTCTAATAATTTGGCGTAGAAATCTGGACATTGTATTTATACACATGTTTGTTTGGGCATATATAACATACATATATATAGATAGATATAGAGAGAGAAATGAATGCAAAGTCAATTAGTTGATAAAACACTTCTAGACTTACATTGTTGCTTTATTTGGCTTGATTCACATATTCAAAAAAGGTAAATGACATAAATCACAATAAGTGAAATGTTCAGTATCCAGCTCCAAAATTCATTCTCTTGTTTTCTTTCTCAATGCAAGTTAGTGAATACCAAGGTGCATACAAGGTTAGACTTGCTCAATGATATAATATATATCTCTTTCTCTCATGTGACTTTCTCTCTCTCTCATGTGACTTATGTATTGAAGACCACTGTAGGATTTAATTCAATCAACTGATATGCTGGATTTTCTCTGTGGCCGTCTGACAATCAGACCACTAGTTCCATTTTCTGCACAAGGCTTATTAAGTCTACATTCTCCTTTGCCTCTCTCTATATATGTATGAATGTGTATTCGTTCACATTTTTCCACAATTAGGGCAAACCTATTGGTTTATGTTGTAAAGCTTAATTTTTTGGAGACATTGACTTCTCTATGGATGCGATTACTTGCAAACGCGGGTGTCAGAGAGGAGAGGAGTATTGGGATGGTGATGAAGGAGGTAGATGGAAATCTTGCTCAGCTTCTCCAAATGTGCCGCTATGAAAATTCGAAGAACGATCTTCTTATCCATAACTCCAATGATTTAAATGATCCATTAGGTATGAATTTGTAATCAATTGATTTCAAAGTTTGATTCATCATCTTTTATCTTGGGTTGAATTTTTTTGAATTTGCATCGATGGATTGTCAATATACTTACATTGGTGCAAGATCGAAGCCTAACCAATCTTCTGTGATGAAGGCAAGCCAGTCTGCAAAGACAATTGTGGCACATCTAGATCTTGTTTCAGGTAAAGTTATGATACTTTTTTGTGCTGTTTTAATTATGGTTTTTAGTACTCAAATATTTGTTGGACATGATTTGAGCATCTTCGCTTAGAATATTGGCTTTTGTTGATTGTACACAATGTTAGAAAGAAATTCATTACCATGTTTTTCTTTTCCTTGTTGCCAGACCAAAAGAGTAATGTCCTGACTAGATATTCAAATTTTTGCACGACTTATTGAATGGTTCTTTATAAAGATTGCAAACATAATTATTTCTTGGACCGTAACAATAGCAGGCGCAAAAGAAACTGAGGTGGGATAATGGATATATCAAAAGAAACTGAGGTGGGATAATGGACATATCATGCATTTCCTTGTTCAATTGTGACAATGATTTCTAGACTCTTTCAATGCATAGGTGGCTGGACGGCACAAGGCAGCCTTCTCTCTCTCTCTCTCTCTCTCTCTCTCTCTCTCTCTCTCTCTCTATATATATATATATATATATATATATATATATAGAAAAAACTTTTTTTTTTCTTAACTTCAGATTTAGCTTAATGATAATAAAATTGTCGATTTTATCACTTAAAAAAAAAAGCAATATTACAAAAAGTGCAGCCCTCGGTGGAGACTAAAATAGCCAATAATAAAATCACATAATAATTGAAGAATAAAGCAGCACACACACACACACACTCACATATATATATATATATAGTAATTAGGGAGGTTGATTAAGGGCATTTAGGACCGCCTTCCTTGGTCTTCCAGTTGTTGTAGCAAGGGCATGTTTGTTTGTTGCCGTAAGTGCCCGGAGGAACGCACAAGCATTTGGAGCAGCATTTCTGGCAGAAGAACATGCATGGCTTCTTATATGATGTTGCTGAGCAACGATAGCTACATCTTGGTCTGCAATCTGCAGGACGAAGCCTATTGTAACCCTCAACCACATTGGAGAAAGTAATCAAAAGCAGCACTGACAAAACCAGCAAGAGAGCAGAGTTGAACGGACGTCCTCCTGCCCCCTCTATAGAAAAACTAGTTTGTGGTTTAGTTATTGAGAAAGAAAAAGGAAAGGAGACAACTTAGCTGATGCTTTGTTCAAAGCAAAAAAAAAAAAAAAAACTTGGCTAATGCACGATCATTATTTCACATAACATATTGATCTAATGATGTGACTTTATTTTAACAGTTAGATTAACATTAANTTTTTTTTTTTGTCCCTTCTATTTTCATAACTGCTAGATTTCTTCATTTTGGTATGAAATCCTTTTGTCATGGGCTTCTTGCTTTTCAGATTTTGTCATGGTTCATACGGAGTTGCTTAGTTAAGTTTTCCATATGAACCATGTCTCGATATATACAAAGTGATACTGAATAGAATACAAGATATGGGGGATTTAAGGAAAAATGTTAATGCTGGAGGTTTTTCTACTAAGGTAATGCCGTGATGATTTTCTGAATATTAGAAGTTGTTCTTTGTCTCTTGTTTTTTGATTCAAACTGCGACGAGTACTTTTTCTTTTTCAAATTCTAAGGTCTGTGGCATTCGTTCTGAGACATTACTCGTCTGCTATGAAAGAGGTATATTTACCTTTAGTAATAAACTGTATCATCATCTTGGTACATGTTAATCTTATTATGGGTTATTGCTCTAATAATTTGGCGTAGAAATCTGGACATTGTATTTATACACATGTTTGTTTGGGCATATATAACATACATATATATAGATAGATATAGAGAGAGAAATGAATGCAAAGTCAATTAGTTGATAAAACACTTCTAGACTTACATTGTTGCTTTATTTGGCTTGATTCACATATTCAAAAAAGGTAAATGACATAAATCACAATAAGTGAAATGTTCAGTATCCAGCTCCAAAATTCATTCTCTTGTTTTCTTTCTCAATGCAAGTTAGTGAATACCAAGGTGCATACAAGGTTAGACTTGCTCAATGATATAATATATATCTCTTTCTCTCATGTGACTTTCTCTCTCTCTCATGTGACTTATGTATTGAAGACCACTGTAGGATTTAATTCAATCAACTGATATGCTGGATTTTCTCTGTGGCCGTCTAACAATCAGACCACTAGTTCCATTTTCTGCACAAGGTTTATTAAGTCTACATTCTCCTTTGCCTCTCTCTATATATGTATGAATGTGTATTCGTTCACATTTTTCCACAATTAGGGCAAACCTATTGGTTTATGTTGTAAAGCTTAATTTTTTGGAGACATTGACTTCTCTATGGATGCGATTACTTGCAAACGCGGGTGTCAGAGAGGAGAGGAGTATTGGGATGGTGATGAAGGAGGTAGATGGAAATCTTGCTCAGCTTCTCCAAATGTGCCNAGAGAGGAGAGGAGTATTGGGATGGTGATGAAGGAGGTAGATGGAAATCTTGCTCAGCTTCTCCAAATGTGCCGCTATGAAAATTCGAAGAACGATCTTCTTATCCATAACTCCAATGATTTAAATGATCCATTAGGTATGAATTTGTAATCAATTGATTTCAAAGTTTGATTCATCATCTTTTATCTTGGGTTGAATTTTTTTGAATTTGCATTGGATTGTCAATATACTTACATTGGTGCAAGATCGAAGCCTAACCAATCTTCTGTGATGAAGGCAACTTCTATAGTTCTTAGCCAGTCTGCAAAGACAATTGTGGCACATCTAGATCTTGTTTCAGGTAAAGTTATGATACTTTTTTGTGCTGTTTTAATTATGGTTTTTAGTACTCAAATATTTGTTGGACATGATTTGAGCATCTTCGCTTAGAATATTGGCTTTTGTTGATTGTACACAATGTTAGAAAGAAATTCATTACCATGTTTTTCTTTTCCTTGTTGCCAGACCAAAAGAGTATAATTTCAAAATATTCTATTGGTGCAATATGAGTTGTGTCTTTGTTCTGCTCTGGTTTTTGTGAAGTGAGAATTAAAACATAATTTGTGGGTAAGTTTGTTTCTTTTTTCAATTCTCCCTAAATTAGTTTCAATATTTGTGTGAGGTTTTCATGAATTCATAAGGGTAAGAACTTTAGTATAACGCAAAGTAATTTTCCATCAGGCCAACTGATACGATATGGACAATTTCTCTCACTTACCAAATTAATTTTGCTAAGCTCTATTTGTCATTGAGCAATAACAATGTGAAAATTTTATTTTTTATTATGATCCTCATGTAGCTCTAATTATGTTTCTTCATATGATCATAGTGAACTTAGCATGGTCGTGAGTATTGGTTAATTTTACTATGTTCTCTATGTAGAGAAAAATCATATTTGTTTGTAGTTTTATTCAATCTAATAAAACCTAAAACAATTTTTACTTATGATAAATACAGACCCACAAAAATAATTTGGGTGCTAAAAAATCGCCACATTCTATACAGTCCCCACCTCCTCTCTCTCTCTCACACACACACATACACATCCAGTCGGGTGCTACTTCAACAGTCAAAGGTTTATTAACTTATTTTTTGTTTTCTATTATGCTATTTCCATTATTTTTGAACTGTCAAGCCTTTGCCGTATACTGGTATGATTTACCCATAGATTGTTGAGATTGTGGTGCAGGAGATCATATACCATGGATCAATACGCCATCTGATTCTCTGTAAATCAACAAAAGCTTTTATCTTCTTCTAAAAACCAGTAATATAATTATGGTGAATGAAGAGATGCATTTCCTTGGTTTCATGTACCCTTGTCTAGTTCCTGAAGAATAATCACCAATTGGAAAAGCTCTTGAGGAAGCAAAGAGAGATCCACATTTGTACATTTATATTGGATGTGCTATTTTTTCTTTGGGTGAGGTTTATTAGTTGTGTCTGTGTAGTTGTTATTATTGGTTTAAACAATATTGTCAACATACAAAATACTTTGTTAAGGGTTATCTCTATATTTTGAAAGGAAAAATAGTTATCTTTCTTCGACTTTGTTAATCGTTTCTTTTATTTTGACTCTAGCATATTTTATGACAATTTAAGTAATTACATTTCAATTATTCTCCTCTCCATCAACTGGTCTTATAAAAAAGATTGCTAATGGTATTTATCAAGTTGAACAGTTTAATTTGAAAATGGCTCATGTGCAACGCACGTGTGCACCAATTAGTATATATAGATGTGTGTATTTAGGTTTGCAAGGGTAAAAAAGTCATTGCTCTTTTAATACTATACTTGTTAAAAATAATATTACCTATTACATATTCATTAATACCTAATATTAGATGTTAAATGAAAATAATTAACTGCGTCAAGATTAATAAGAAATTAATACTATTTATAAGAAATTAATTCTTAGTCACTATAACCCAATTTAAATTTGATATTACATCATCATCAAACTAAATTAATTCAATACAATATTTTAATACCAAAATCAAACATGCCCTAGGATCTAAGGGCTTTGGGCAAAGCCCTTGTTTTTGTCGAAAACACAGCGTTTTCAGTTGGTATTATAGAACAAGCAATTACATTACACCTACATTTCTCTCAAGTGTCTTATTTGTAAATAAATTTTGCTCCTACAAACAGCAACTTCTGCATTGTACTTTTCCACAAGGCATTTTTGGACTGCACCTGTGTCCAAAACCCAAAACAGTTTGTTATTTATACCACAGCTGCACCAACTCGAATTAACACTTGAATGGGTGTTACGTTCGAACAATCATCAGTAATTCGCTAAATTGTTTTTTGTAATGTGCTGACTAGATATTCAAATTTTTGCACGACTTATTGAATGGTTCTTTATAAAGATTGCAAACATAATTATTTCTTGGACCGTAACAATAGCAGGCGCAAAAGAAACTGAGGTGGGATAATGGATATATCAAAAGAAACTGAGGTGGGATAATGGACATATCATGCATTTCCTTGTTCAATTGTGACAATGATTTCTAGACTCTTTCAATGCATAGGTGGCTGGACGGCACAAGGCAGCCTTCTCTCTCTCTCTCTCTCTCTCTCTATAGAAAAAACTTTTTTTTTTCTTAACTTCAGATTTAGCTTAATGATAATAAAATTGTCGATTTTATCACTTTAAAAAAAAGCAATATTACAAAAAGTGCAGCCCTCGGTGGAGACTAAAATAGCCAATAATAAAATCACATAATAATTGAAGAATAAAGCAGCACACACACTCACATATATATATATATATATATAGTAATTAGGGAGGTTGATTAAGGGCATTTAGGACCGCCTTCCTTGGTCTTCCAGTTGTTGTAGCAAGGGCATGTTTGTTTGTTGCCGTAAGTGCCCGGAGGAACGCACAAGCATTTGGAGCAGCATTTCTGGCAGAAGAACATGCATGGCTTCTTATATGATGTTCCTGAGCAACGATAGCTACATCTTGGTCTGCAATCTGCAGGACGAAGCCTATTGTAACCCTCAACCACATTGGAGAAAGTAATCAAAAGCAGCACTGACAAAACCAGCAAGAGAGCAGAGTTGAACGGACGTCCTCCTGCCCCCTCTATGGAAAAACTAGTTCGTGGTTTAGTTATTGAGAAAGAAAAAGGAAAGGAGACAACTTAGCTAATGCTTTGTTCAAAGCAAAAAAAAAAAAAAAACTTAGCTAATGCACAATCATTATTTTACATAACATATTGATCTAATGATGTGACTTTATTTTAACAGTTAGATTAACATTAAGTGTCAATGTTTGATGAGACTCATTGTCAATTCAATAACTGTAGTGAATTAAGTCAATAAATTAAATAAATAAATTACGTCTCAATAAAATTAAAACTTATTTTTGTAGGTGGAAGTACATTAAAAAGATTGCTCTCCTATTTCTGGACATGCTCTGCAGACTGCATGTATATCTTAATAAAATTTGTTGGGGGTATTACATGTGAAAATCCACACATAGAAGATAAAACTTGTTTGGATAGGAACAAATACAAAATGTTCTAATATACTGTTAATAGATTTAATAAACATAGATGATATATTTTGTGATTATCTCACTAGTTACTTCTTATAAATTAGGTTGAGCTCCATATAATTAATTAACAAATTACACATCGACGCAATTTTTTAGTCTATGGATGCAATAACATTTTGTCGAATCACGCATATTTTTTGTGTTTTGTTTCCTATGTTCAGTTCTTGTGTCTCAAACAACGGCGTGACAGTTATCCTACACAAAATAGTTTGAACAAATTGGTNATTTTTAGTCTATGGATGCAATAACATTTTGCCGAACCACGCATATTTTTTGTGTTTTGTTTCCTATGTTCAGTTCTTGTGTCTCAAACAACAGCGTGACAGTTATCCTACACAAAATAGTTTGAACAAATTGGTATTGAAGCTGATTANTATCTAGACTTCCTATGAAAAACGAATTCCACTTTCAACTTCTTTGTTCTTTCAATCAACAACCGTAACTCCCTCTAATCAAGTCTAGAATGAATCCTAATTCTACCATAAACCTTCATTTCCTGGTTGAAACATTATAAAATTGATTTTAACTTCCTCGTAGTATCCATTATTCTATTTTTGGTCAACAACTATAGGTTATGCGAAAATTTAGGTTGCTTATATAGCTAGGATGATTGGGTTCTTCAACAAGTTCCATACCAATTACTCAATACAATTCCATGGAGTTAAAAACTAAACCAAATCCATGCTAACCGAAATTGGCTAAACAAATGTTTTCCAGGCACGCCCACCTCAAATGGCATACCACCTCATAAGAACCTAATCCATTCATGCAACTATTTTATTTTCTTACATAAAAGTTATACATATTACCACTAAGTCCTTCTTGTAATGTATTTGGGCATTCCTCTCATCACATCTAGACTCAAAAAGCAGCATTGTGAAGGCTTTGTGGAGAGAATCAAAAAAAGGATTAGAAGCTGAACTAACAAATTGTTGTGTTATGCTGGTAAGCTTCAGCTTGTGACTTCTATCATTAGCAGCATTCAAGTCTTCTGGTCCTCCCATCTTGCTTTTCCGCAATCAGTAATTGAAAAAATTGAGCAGCGCATGAGGGCGTTCTTATGGAAGGGTGTTGATTTGAAGAATACTGGAGCTAAAGTGGCTTGGACTAAGGTTTGCAAACCTAAGGATGAGGGTGGATTGGGCATTAAGAGGCTCAAGGATTGAAATTCTTCCTTGCTTATGAAGCATATTTGGAAGTTATTCACGAAAAAAACAGGCCTTATTCTCAAGGTGGATACACTCTTACCACTTGAGAGGGAGAAGTCTTTGGGAAATCAGAGCTACCCCAACTAGCTCTTGGACATGGCAAAATATTTTGAAGTTAATGGAGGTTATTAGACCTCTTTTGACTCATACAATTGGTAATGGTTATGATACATTTTTATGGCTTGACAATTAGCATCCTAATGGTCCTCTATTTCGAAGATGGAGTCATATTCCCATTCTTGCCTCTGCTTTCACCATGAGTTTCAAAGTTAGCTGCATCATCTCTAGGACTCAATGGTGTTGGTCCAATGCCTCTTCTCTTACTTTGGCTAGGATTGTTGAATCTATGCCTACTTATTCCCGCAACCATCTTGCTGATGACAAAGTCCTTTGGTCTCTCACTGCAAATTCTCAATTTTCTACCACTCTTTCTTGGCACTACATCAGATAAACTGCGCAGAAAATTCCTTGGTCAAAGCTTGTTTGGCACACACCTCATTCCCAAGATGAGCTTTATTTTATGGCTAGCCATTAGGCAAAGATTATATACCAAAGAAAGAGCTCACTCTCTTTCCAATCAAGTGGATTTGGGATGCATCCTTTGCAGACAATTCACTGAGTCTCATTCTCATCTCTTTTTTGTGTGAACCTTCTCCCATGGTACTTGGAAAGCCATTCTCATATGCAGGCAAACTCAGTGGTCTCCTTCTCCTTGACTCTCTTTCATTAATTGGGTTGCTACCCACTGGAAGGGAAAACCTATGCTCTCTATCATCCTTAAGCTTAGCCTTACTTCTACAGTTTATCATATTTGGATGGAGAGGAACTCCAGAGTGTTCTCTAACCAATTTAGGGACCACAATTCTCTGATTCAAGTCATCAAACAAGCAATCAAGGACAAACTCATGTATACTAAACTCAAGCACTCCACCTAGAATCTTAGGCTGCTGCATCTATGGGATCTTCCTCTCAGCTGCTTAGCATAATTCCTTTTGAGGACTATTTTTGTATAATCTTAGGACTTGAATTCTTGGGGAAGTGTTGAGTATCCTCTATACTTACCTCTGAATTTTGATATTTCTTCTCCATTTTGATGGACAACATTAGTTGTACTTTTGTTTGTTCATATATAGTTTTTTTTAATACAAACTTTACCTTTCGAGAAAAAGGGAAGGAGAACACTTAGCTAATGCGCAATCATGACTGCCATACTAGAAAGTCTATTGTGTTTTTAGACATAGAGCACCGAGACGTCAAGGTAGAAAATACAAAAAGATAAAAGAGAACATAAAGAATTCTTGGAACTTAAAAATTTAACTTAATATGTTGATATAATGACGTGATTTTATTTTAACAGTCGGATTAATACGAAATTTCAATGTTTGATGAGACCCACTATCAATTCAATAACTATAATAAATTAGGTCAACAAATTAATTCAATAAATTATATCCCAATAACATTGCTCGTAAATTACAACTTAATTTTGTAGGTGGAATTACATTAAGAAGATGAAATTTGCTCTCCTATTTTTGGACATGCTCTGTAGACAGCATGCATATCGTAATAGACATAGATGATATAAAACTTGTTGGGGTATTACATGTGAAAATCCACACATTGGATAGGAACAAATACAAAATGTTCTAATATACTGTTAATAGATTTATTACACTTATAAAAAGATTTAGCTATATCCAATTTTTTTTTAATAAACATAGATGATATATTTTTGTAGTTACTCCATGTAAATTAGGTTTTTTTTTCCTTCAAAGCCACCCAGTGTGAGTGGGGGGTTTGACAGGACCCCTACGTATATATATAACTAAAAAGAAAAAAGTACAAGGGAGGGGGACTAACCACCAGAAGTACGTGAGGATTCTGTCGAGCATCAAAAGCGAGGATGCTAGCAATCCCAGAAGGAAGGGATGACGAATCAGAAAATCACTAATTGAGCTGCTGAGAGCAAGCCCAATTAGCCATGAAGTCGACAACCTGATTCGCCTCCCGTAGGACGTGGCAGACACGAGCCGAGAGAGAAACACACATAAGCCAAATGCGAGCAAGCAAATAAGCATAAACCCAGCACCCATTACCCTGAGAATAAACCCAAGAAGCCACTGTAACTAAATCTGCCTCCACTACCAACTTTGAAAACTCCCAAATCTGCGACCAACTCTAAACTATCGCAAACAATTTGCATCTCCGCATACAGAATAGGCTGACGTCCCATAAACAATTCAAAAGCCCTGAGAACCCGACTCTAGTGGTCCCGAATAACACCCCCTGCCGCAGACAACCCCAGATTGCCTTTAGAATAGCCATCAACACTGATCTTCAGGCAACCTGATACAGGACGAATCCAAGCAACCAAGCAGAGAGGCCAAGGCCGAGGAACCAAGACCCTAAGAGAACCCACAAAGTCAACCGACTTATCCCGACACAACTGACTTGGAGCAAACCCAAAAGCAAGCCCAATCAACTGCATATCGGTCATAACCCTCTGAACCACAACGGGCAACTGAAAAGCCCGTCCATCAAACCGATAAGCATTACGCGCCTTCCATAGGTGCCACAGAATAAAACACGGTAACAGTACACGCACATGACCTGCAGAAGGAGTACAACGCCGCCAACAAAGCGTAAAAGTATAAGGAAACTGAAACGGCCAAGATCTGATCTCAAACATCCGATAAAAGTAACCCCACACTTGAACTGCAAGCGGACAATCCAAAAAAAGGTGCTTAAGAGTCTCAAAAATTAGGTTGAATACCATACTATTAATTAATAGATTACACAATAACGCAACTTTTTAGTCTATAGATGCACACATTTTGCTAAACCATGCTTATTTTTGTGTTTTGTTTCCTATGTTCGGTTCTTGTCTCTCAAACAACGGTGTTACAGTTATCCTAAACAAAATAGTTTTAACAAATTGGTATTGACGCTGATTAGTTGCTAGACTAAAAATCNGCGTGACAGTTATCCTACACAAAATAGTTTGAACAAATTGGTATTGAAGCTGATTATTTACTAGACTAAAAATCAACAAAACTCGTGTATTAAAAGGGAAACTTCCCATGCTGCAAGTGCCGTGAGTCGAAGGCCACACCTCATGCATTTTTAATTCTCATGGATATCTGGTTTCAAAATCCAGAACGTTTCTTTAGAAAAGCAATAGCACAGCTGGACCTCCTGGTATTAGATTGAGAATGTTATGGTCGAACAGTCAAAGGTAATCCAACATCATCCGATTAGTTATTTTTTGTGACGTCTTAACTTGATATTTGCTGACCAAGCACTCCACAGAAGAATAAAAAAATGTCACAGCTGGACCTCCTACCATTGATTTTGCTGGCCATTATTCTTATAATATTACAAAACCGATTGTTTTGCAGCATAATCCATGTTGACCCAAGATGTTTCAATAGACCATACCTATAGCAGGCATCGACGAAACCGAAGTTTGATAATGGACATGCACGTACATGTGCTTTTACCATTTCCATACTCGTTTCGTTGCATAACAATGAGGACAAGAGACTATTTCGGTGCATTGGTGACAGGACGGCAAAAGGCTCTTTCTCTCTCTCTCTCTCTCTCCTATAAAAGAGGGCAAACTAGAACTTGTTTTGCAGCTCGATCAAGTTTACTCATATCTCTAGTATTTTCGAATGGCTCCTAGTTTCCTTTTGTTTGGACTGTTGGCCATAGCTTGTTCGCTCGCTTCGGCTTCTGACCATAGNTCTAGTATTTTCGAATGGCTCCTAGTGTCCTTTTGTTTGGACTGTTGGCCATAGCTTGTTCGCTCGCTTCGGCTTCTGACCATAGCCCTCTCCAAGATTTTTGTGTCGCCGATGCTACCAGCCCAGGTAATGCGTTCTTTAAACTCATTTAACCTTACTTATTGGGGCTTCTATGTTTTTTCACTTTTTTCCGTGTATTTGTAGATAAAACCTAGTTGTTCCCTACATTTTATGTTTCTTCACTCTTTTTTGTGGCAGTGTTGGTGAATGGTCTGGTTTGTAAGGACCCGAAGCTCGTAAAAGCTGATGATTTTTTTTTCAAAGGTCTTCACTTAGCTGGCAATACATCCAATGCAGTGGGATCACGTGTAACTCCAGTAAACGTAGCTCAAATACCAGGACTTAATACTCTTGGCATCTCTTTGGTCAGGATCGATTATGCACCATGGGGGATAAACCCTCCACACACACATCCTCGAGCTACTGAAATTTTGACTGTAGTAGAAGGCCTCCTTGAAGTAGGGTTTGTCACTTCTAATCCAGAAAACCATCTCATAACAAAAGTGCTTCAGAAAGGTGACGTATTTGTCTTCCCAGTGGGTCTCGTCCACTTCCAGCGCAATGTTGGATACTGTAATACAGTTGCTATTGCAGCCCTCAATAGCCAAAATCCGGGAGTTATTACCATTGCAAATACCGTCTTTGGATCAAAGCCTGATATCTCTAGCGATCTTTTAGCAAAGGCTTTTCAAGTGGATAAGAACATTGTCTACAAGATACAGTCACATTTCTGAATAACTTTCTAGAGACACCAATCTGGAAGATTGTCTCAGCCAAGTTCCTGAAGTGTTCAGTTTATGCATATGTTGAGTTGAGTTTTGTTATTTATGGGATTGTTTTGCTCTGGCAAAAAATAAAGATATCATGTTTGCAGTTCTGAAAAATGTGAACGTGGTGCTTGTAACTTCTTTGATCCTTGGGAATTAAAAAAAATATCTTTTATTTTCTTGGAAGAATACAATGGACTACTTCTTTAAAAGAAAAGATGAAGATTTTTAATGAGTTTGAAATCAATTGGGTCAGGCCTAATAAAAATAAACCAAAAGGGGCCCAAGTCACCAGCTCCCAAAAGGGGCCTAAGTCACCAGAGCCCAAAGGAATCACCCAAAAGCACCTGGCGTCGTCCAATGGGGCAAGGGGGCGCCGCCCATGGGGACCCTTGGCTCTCCTTCGTTCCATGCTCTCTCTTCCTCAGCACTGTCTCAATGGTATCCCTCATCACCTTGCCAGTTCCCAGCTTAGGACCCAGAAAACTCAAAGGATAGAAGCACATGAGAGAGAATATGAAGATACACATTCATGGAGATCTAATCCTACCTCAATTGTACTTACCAAAAAATAGTGACCATCTCACTTCACTGCCTCACCATATCTATATAATGTAAGTAGTCTTCACATAGAGGGTATGATCTTGAAACCTCAAGACACCTCTACATCTCACACACCTCTCTGCACCTCCTTAATTTCTCTATCGCAAAGCATTGTAACTGTCTCGGTGACTTTTATTCATCAATAAATATCTCCGGCCACCGATGTCGTTCCCGAGAGTGGAGTAGGTCACCCGGATCGAACCACTATAAATCTGTGTGTTTGCTACTATTAATTATTTTGTCATTGATTGTCTATTTATTATTCATTAATTGCACCCTTATAAATACTCGATTGTTGATCTCGCACAATACTAATTTGTGCATCATCAATTTGGCGCTGTCAGTGGGAATGACTAGATTTTCTACTCTCTTTAATCCATGGTAATCACGAACCAATCGATGAGTCAGCAACCAGGAGACAACAACCCTACCGAGAAAAGGCTCCACCTCCCCTCGCACCCTCGGAACCATCTACTACCGCGACCCCCATCATCGGGCAACAGCTTCTACAGACCATGCAGCTGCTGGTAAACCAAAACCAGCAAATAATTCATCTAATGCTCGCCTAGGGAGACGTCGCCCCTCACNCTGGTAAACCAAAACCAGCAAATAATTCATCTAATGCTCGCCTAGGGAGACGTCGCCCCTCACCCTGTAGGAGGAGCCCTACTCCCCTCTAACAAGAGAGGTGCAACAACCCATCCCTTCTGGGCGCCATGTAGCCCCTCACCACGGGGCCCCTCGCCAGAATGCCCCAGGGCCATGCCAGGGCGCCCCTCACCTAGTAGTCCACCTCAACGTGCAAGGAGCTCACGTGTTCCCCCTCCACACGTACCTGTGCAGGAGGACAAATGAGAGAGCCAATATAAGGATCATGGAAGCCAGTACCATCACCCAATGGAGGATGTCCCCAATCAATGGGATGAGAAGATCAAAAAGGTGCAAAATCAACTCAGTGACACCCTTAACGCCATCAAGGCACAGGCGCCCAAGACAGTGGACTACCTAGTAAAATATACTGATACACTTTTTGTTGTGATATAGTCAATTATCCCTTACCCTCGAAGTTCAAGATGCTACCATTGAGATATTTGATGGTACCAAAAACCCCCTCGACCATCTCGACACATACAAATCTCTTATGCAACTCTACAACGTGCCTGAAGAGATTATGTGTAGAGCCTTCCCTACCACCTTGAAGGGGTCTGCTCGCCAATGATGCACAAAGATTAAACCCTCCTTCATCCACTCTTTCACCGAATTGAGTAGATCATTCGTCTCGCACTTCATTGGGGGACGCCGACATCAGAAACCTGTGACCCACTTGCTCACCATCAAGCAGAATAGGTATGAAAGACTTAGAGACTACCTCACCCATTTCAACGAGGAGGTTCTCCAAATTGAGGAGTCAGATGATAAGGTAGCCCTGGCCGCTTTCATCGCTGGTCTTCNCCCATTTCAACGAGGAGGTTCTCCAAATTGAGGAGTCAGATGATAAGGTAGCCCTGGCCGCTTTCATCGCTGGTCTTCACTCCTCTAGTTTCATGTTCTCTGTCCTCAAGAAGCCACCCTCCAACATGCCCGAGTCGTTGGCTAGGGCACAGAAATACATGAACGCCAAGGATGTCACCAAAGCCCATAGAGGCGAGTCCTCTCGAGGTGGAGACAAAAGGAAGGACACCCGCGAAGATAGGAGAGAGGCAGAGAATAAGAGGAAGAAGACCGAGAGAATATCTATAAATGACCGTCTCAATCCATTACCCCTGAGACACCGAAAGCCTTTCACACCACTTAATGCGTCGGTGGAGCACATCCAATTCCAGATACAAGATAACCTCGAGATCCGTTGGGCCGGAAAGATAAAGTTTGGCCCCAAGCGCCGAAATCCCAGCAGCAAATACTATCGCTTCCACTGCGACCACGGTCATAACACGGACGACTGCTTCCAGTTAAATAGGCAGATTGAGGAGCTTATTCAGCGTGGCCAACTAAGACAGTATGTTGTTAGTCGAGGACCAGCGCCACCACACGAGGAACGAGAGTGCCAATAACCGCTTGGAGAGATCTAGGCTATCGCATGAGGGTTAGGAAGAGAAGGTGACTCCAACTTTGCTAGGAAAGCACACACCCGAAGAGCCAGACAGACAGAGTCACATAACTCTAGCCCAAAGAAGACACCCCTACATGGGGAGGAGGAGGTCATCACTTTCTCAGACAAGGACCACGAGGAGATCCAGGTTCCTCACAATGACCCCCTAGTTTTAACTTTGATGGTAGCCAACTACTAGGTTAGGAGGATCCTGGTCAATAGCGGGAGCTCAGCCAACATTCTTTCCGCAACAGCCTTTGACATTCTTCAACTTAGCAAAGAAAGACTATAACCTGTCAAGACTCCCTTGGTTGGATTCTCAAGAGAGAGAATCCATCCCTTGGGATCTATCACCCTGCTAGTCACACCAAGGAACAACACCGAAGAGCTCTACTATTATGGTAAATTTTCTTGTACTTGACTGCCCTTCTACTTACAATGTAATACTTGGACGTCCTACCCTCAACACCCTAAGGGCAGTGTCGTCAACCTACCACCTTCTCCTCTGTTTTCCAACCACCAATGGGATTGGGGAGATTAAAGGAGACCAAGTTTCAACTAGAGAATGCTATGTGGTCTCTATGAGGACCAAGAGAACACACAAGAATTTCCAAATCGAAGTGCTTGACCCTAGAGATGACAGTACCTTGGAGAGGGGTAAACTAGTAGAAGAACTTCTGCCAGTAGTAATAGATGACAACCTTCCCAAGAGGAGAGTCTATATAGGCTCCTCACTCTCCCAGGAGCAGACCTCTGCCTTAATCGACTTCCTAAGGCTGAACATGGATGTCTTCATCTGGTCCCATGAAGACTTGGAGGGCATCGACCCCGAAGTGGCCTCCCACCGAATCAATGTTGATCCTAGATACAAGTCTATCCGCCAGAAGTTGAGGAATATAAGTGCAAAGAGGTGGCAAGCCATGGAGAAGGAGGTAGATAAGCTACTAACGAATGGGTCAGTGAGGGAGGTAGCCTACCCAAACTGGCTATCCAATGTAGTGATGGTGACAAAGGCCAATGAAAAGTGGCACTTCTACATGGACTTCATGGAGCTCAACAAAGCCTGTCCCAAAGACAGCTACCTTCTCCCACGCACCGACCTCCTCATTGAGGCCACCGCTAGACACTAGCTCCTGAGTTTTCTAGACGCCTACTCCGGGTAAAACCAGATCATCATATTCCCTCCAGATCAGGAGAAAATCTCATTTATCACCCCGAAAGGTACTTACTATTACAAGATGATGCCTTTCGGGCTCAAGAATGCCGGAGCCACCTACCAACACCTCGTGAACAAGATGTTCGAGGCTCAGATCGAAAAGACTATGGAGGTCTATGTAAATGATATGTTAGTAGAGAGTTTAGTTACAACGGACCATGTAATGCACCTGCAAGAGACCTTCGATGTGTTAAAAGCCTACAGGATGAAGTTAAATCCTGAAAAGTGCACCTTTGGCGTTAGTTTGGAAAAGTTCTTAGGCTTCATAGTCCACAAAAGGGGTATTGAAGCCAACCCATACATATTCAGAGCCATCTTGGACATGAAGTCCCTCGTCTCAACAAAAGAGGTCCAGCGCCTTAATGGGAGGGTAGCAGCCCTTAACAGGTTTGTCCCTAAATCGACAAATAAATGCCTACCCTTCTTTAAAATCATATGCATGTCTTTCTAGGGGGGCCCATATGCAGAGGAGACCTTCCAGAAACTCAAGGCCTACCTCGCCACACCACCTCTACTTTTCCATGCTGCACTAGAAAAAACCCTTTACATTTACCTCTCCTTTTCACCCTCCGCTGTGAGCTCCACCCTCATCAGAGAAGATGGATCCATCTAGAAGTCTGTATACTATGTACGCAGGGCGTATTGAGGGGCAGTGATAAGGTATTCAGAACTCGAAAAATTGGCTCTCGCACTACCGCTAGAGCCTACGACACTACTTTCAGAGCCACACCATCATGGTTGTCAGAAATCAACCTCTCAAGAGGATTTTGTGGAAGCCTAATGTCTTTGGCCGACAACGCAAGTGGTTCATCGAGTTGAGCGAATTCGATGTGCAGTAACTGTCGAGGGCTACCATCAAAGCACAAGCACTTGTTGACTTCATGGCAGAGTCTACACTGCTACAGGAGTCCTAGGAGGAAGCGTCAAGCGCCCTTGCGTCCACTTACTTAGTACACGTAGCCTCTACCCACCATAAGGTTGGAGGACATGACGACTTGGAGGAGGACCCCCGACCTAAATAGCCCAGGCGCTGCTCGCCTGGACCAAGGCACCACCCAC